TACTATATACAGTCATCACTTTGACGCGAAGAAGATGGTAACACTCGCAGCTCGCATACATAGATGTCAAAGATGGAGTACAACCTGGTATAACTTGTTCGAGACGCCAAGTGACCCATAGTCCTATCAGCAAAAGGAATAGGACAGTGAGATTGAGGGCCTGGCTCCACATGTGACGCTAAGATGCCAAGGGCCTTGGATCATAAGTTTGAGATGGTTTGAGATCGATGATAACATGTTAAAATTGAACAGCTGGAAAAGTGACTTCAATTTCACTGAGATGTATTCATCAGACATCTGGTACTGGGAATGCTCTCACATGACTCGTGTACTAGTTTGAGATTTCTGGTTGAGATCGAAGTGCTTAAATTACTACAATTTTTGGCAAGCCTGTTTGTGCTAACTTTTTTCTGTATGGGATTGTTTGGATCGATTGAGATCATGATCTTCTTCCCACGAATAAATTATAATCAATTAATTTGTCTAAGTGTTTCATCCCATCAAATCCTATCATATCCCATCAAATCCCATCTGACCTAAAATCAGGTGTTTCATGATGTTTCTATTTTCTCCCAGTCTTCATTCCATACAATCCAATCATATCCAAACCATACAATACACATCAACACACATAGATTTTGACTCAAAACATTCAATGTTACTTTGTCACGATTTTTTGGGTCTCCGTTGTGGCCTCTGCGGCCCTTCCACCGGGGCCCTCCCGGGGCGGCCCGTGGCCCCCGAGGCGGCTACGACATCGCCCGGGCACGTTTTGGCGCGGTGCGCCACGGGACGCGGCCCGGCGCTGTGGCTTCAACGGAGGACGACGGGTGCCGTGCTGCACGACGCGGCGGGCCACGGCCGCGTGGAGATCTGCCAGGTGCTGCTGGCGGCGGGGGCCGAGGTCCACGCCAGGGATGACGTTGGCCTCTCGGCCCTGAAGAGATGGATACACGGTGCTTTGGGGGAGATTTCAGGGTGCCAAAAAAAATTCGAACGCAACATGTGAAATGTAAAACGGTTTTGGTGGTTTTGGTTGGGCTTAGTAGGTTTTGAGGCTTTAAAAAGGCAGTTTCCAGTTGAAATCATTTACATCAACAACCACACATGGACAGAAGTTGAAACAACACAAGATATCACACAATTAAAGCAACAATCATGAAACAATTGAACTTGGCGGTATTTGGGGCTCCTGATGGAGCCTTGGATGTGCAGCTTCTCGGAGACTTGGCACATTCATGGATTTTTCACAATCTTTTCACATGCTTCGTTGTCTTCGGTTTGCTTTGCATCAGAAGGACATTTCTGGGAGCAGTCGCTCGCCCGAGGTCAGACCCCGCTGCACTATGCGGCGGGCAACGGCCGCGTGGAGGTGGTGCAGCTGCTCGTCGAGGCGAAAACCTCCGTCACTGTGACAAACAGCTATGGCCGGGGGCCTCGACTGGGAGATGTGATGGGTTTTTGATGGTTTTTGCTTACTTATCTTATCATATTAAATTATACTACCTACACTTATATATATATATAATATACTTATTGTTACACATATTGCTTTGTGGCGGCTGTTTTGTTTGTTGAACATTGAGACCTCCTGTGGTCAGTAGTCAGTCAAGGTGTCTTAGGGTCCTCAGGCACTAGGGTTGTTTAGCTGAAGGTGATTGGAGATGCGGAGACACAGTACGCATTTGGACAGGCATTCTACAACATCATTCGACATCCCAAAGACACATCATTGCTTGAGACAACGCAAACAGCATGAGGAGACGTCTCAACGGATGGAGACTCACTGAATGTTTGTTGGTAGAAAATGAATGAAAATGATAGAAATGTATCACGATGTACTGTATCATATGATCAATGGTATCTGTGAATGTGCACAACGCACATCCAGCCTCCGCATGTGCAATACGTTGAATGAAATGATGCGTGCATAATACGTACACACATCCTCATTTGTTCGAGATATTTGTCAAGACGCCACAGCGAAATTGCACAACACCGAACTTGCCATCTCGAAGCTGTATGGGCATGTATGGACAACCTGATTCTCTGGTTTTTTTCTCATTGGAATTCTTTGCCCTCCTGGACTGAACTAGCACAGGAACCGTCCAATCGGTTGATTTTGTGTTGAGGGTATTTTACTTGAAAGCAACATCTCGGGAATACTTTTCTTACGTGCTTATATCCGTGAGAAGCACCATTTCAAATGACTGGGGATTCATTCTCCTGGAAAATGTCAGAATACGCTTTTCAGTGATTTCAGGGGTTTGAGGGGTTTCATGTCATTTTACAGCGCGACACTGAATCTGAAAATGTTAGTTAGCTCTCCGTCATTTTGGGATTTGCGGATTTTTGCGGATATTTGCAGGAGTTTTGCGGATATTTGCAGGAGTTTCGCAGAAATTTGCGGGATTTTTGCGGGCAATTTCCAACGTTTTCGGTGGCAGCTGCTTTCACTTTGCTCACCTCAACCTTCAGATATTGAAAAGCACCCTGGACATCCAATTGCCTTTCCAAGAACAAAAAACAAGGATTTTAAGAGTTTCAGGTGTTTGACGTCAAAATCTATCGTTTTCAGAGAAAACAGGTAAACACCGAGAACCCATGGATTTTGGATTTTGAATCTCCAGGTGTGTTATTTGTTTGGGTCTGGGGGTTCGAATTTGAAGGTCTCCTTCAACTTCGAATGCCACAAAGGGATGCAGAAGTCATGTGAAACTGCAGTCTTTCCACAAGTTTCAACACAGTCAGTCTATGAACGCGACGCTACCATGAAAGTTAATGGCAAGCTCTGGACTCTGGCCCTGGGTCTCTAGGAGATAGAACTTCAGCCCAATCAACATTAAATTGTGAATATGGGATGTGAATAGCGTTTGGAGCAACTTGAATAACTGGCGTGAAGAATGACGGCAACAATGTTTTGTTTTCAAGTGACGGAATTCGATACATCAGACGCTCTACAAATCTCTACAAGTAAATTCTTCAATATGGCTTTTGAAATGACATCAAGACCCATGAGTGTGGTGCAATCAACATCAATTACAGCGCTCAGGCCAGACTCCATTGGACTATGCACGAAGAGCGGGCAACGATGAAGTTGTGAAGATTCTGAAGAATGCAGAATCTTGGCTGCACACATGTGTCACCGAGAGCAGGTCGTTCGTTTCGGAGTCCGACTGCTTCCAGCAAGACACAGCTACAGCCGCAGATTTTGATTGTGCCTTTGCTTTACCTGAGGCATGAAGCTCCAAGATTTGCGCGTGGAGCAACTCAGCTGTTGGTGCGATCTCTGGATTGATGGTGCGGCCTTCCATGTTTCACGCGCCCTTGGTCGAATCGGTACGAAAATGCAAACATCTGTGCGCTCAAATAGATTACTGTTTTGCGAGGTGCAGAATTGAAGGAACATGTTTCTCATTTGGGCTCTTTTCTTGCTTAGATATGTTTCGACCACGGAAACGACACTCTATCAGCGAGCCTTCTGGAGTTTCCTTCCAACCATTTTGTTCGCTTCAAGTGTCTGGAGTCATCATGCTGCTTCTTGGCACATCCTGGTTCAAGCCTCGGAAGATTGAAATCAAGCCTCGGTCGACATGCGCAGGTGACAAACTTGCCAGCTTGCTAGCCCATTTGACAGGGACAAATTCACAGGGTTGTCAGTTTCCATGCTGGAATTGCTCAGGTCCCCTCTCATTTGGATTGGTCCATTGGTTTGCCATCGAACATATCGAACCTCCCGCTGCTGCATGGCTGCGCGAGTGGCTCCAACTTTTCAGGCTGGAAATACGCTTGCCTTGGCCTACACATGCTGAAAGTCTGACAATAGTTGAGCTGGGCAATGAGGTGTTTTATCGTGCCTAAAGGATCCTAAAGGTATGAATATGTCGACTGTTAGAAAACGCGGATCATGTTTTATTTATTTTTATTTGCTACCATTCTGTTTGCCATTCTGAGCAGCATTTATGACGCTGTCATTTAAAACGGTCTTGAACATCCTGACATGGGTGCCTTCTCATCGAAAAAGCAAAGAATCTGATGATTGCGTTCACTGGATTGTGCATGAAGCCTTCGCTCAATTCAACCACAAATCCGCGGAACGTCGTTGTGATGATGTGTTGGGTGGAGTCTTGAAGAAATTTGTAGAGCCTCATCTGGAGCCACCCAAACTCTCGCGGCCTGCAGACACTTGTCGCACACTGGCCATCGGCCTCGACATGTTGAACCCTTCTCCAAAGTTGAGAACTTGGATATCCACAAAGAAAACTCTTGAAAGTTATCAGCGTCCCGCCTCAATCTTGTTGTCTTCCCCGACCTAAATTATGCGGGCAGTGTCCATGACCTCGCATGATATGGGCAGAAAGAGATGTCTCAGAGAGGTGCCGTGTAAGCCAACGGCGGAATCGGTCAAGTGTAAAGAACATAGGCCCAACATCACACATTCTGCGCCAAACTCATATTTGGACGAGTGTTTTTGTGGGCGATCCAAACCTTGCAATTAACCACTTCAGGCCAACCATGAAATCTTGTACCATGCAGCGGACGAGGCTCCCCATGTTTTCTCAGTGCATTTTCAATGAACAAATCAATTCCACGCATTTCATATGAGCTTCGTTGACCTTGCAAAGTTCAATTCAATTTTAAAGGGTGCACTCTTCTGAGCTTGGTACTACAACTCCGAAACCAGAACCCGTCCACATCAACTCCAGATCGCATGTGCAGAAACATGCCAAACATATCCAAAAGTCTTCAACAACCTGGTAGTGTTTGGCCTCGTTGATTCGTGTGGCCTTGCCGGTGTCAGCCCCTTGGCAAAACTGCGTTCAACGTCTCTTGACAAGTGCTGCTTGCGCACAGGAATTAGCCGGGGCCCATGCCTCCAAGCGCAAATCCTTCATCTCCAACCATACTCAAGTGTGAAGATTTTGGACAAAGTGATATCCCAAATACCAGAAGGGTGCAGTGCATATTGCAGGTGTTGCTAGGTGTTTTCGGTGCGCCAGGACCCCGAAGAGCTGGTAAGTCATGCAGGCCAGGGAGATGCAGATGGTTGGTGGCAGGGGCTGTTTCCCCGGGAGGAGCGTCTTAGAATTTTTGGTGAGAATGTATGATCCTGATTGTCGACTGAAACGGACACTATTCAGAATTTTTAGACCTTAAGATGTCAAGATGTCTTGACTTTGCAGACCTTAAGAATCCTTAAGATGTCTTGATTTGTCTGCTGGAGTTCTGAAGTATTAGGGTCAACGGATTGCCTAAGAAGTGGGCGCAGAATTGGAGGCGTCTCTTGAAAACACATATCTCTTGAAAGCAAAACAAGCAGTCTATGGTGGTCTTTGACTCTTGATTTCAGGGTCTCGCCTTTCAGGGTCCAGAGCAAATTGCAGGAATTGCACACCCAAGGAATTGCGGAGGTTTGGCTTTTGGAGCTGAGTTGTGTTGCGAGGCAGCACACCTCACGACCTTGCAAAGGACGGCGATGACAAGAAGGTCATGGGTTTGCGGGTTCAATATGATCAATATGTCAAAATGTTCAATTGTTCATTATCTTTGCCTGTAGTGCTGACACAGGTATAATTATTCAGGAACTGGCTGGTTGGACCTTGAGTCTTCAAGTGCAAATCCTCGTGGTCTGCCATCAAATTCTATCGGAACGCATCTAAAGTTGCTTCACATTGTGTGAGGGTTGCTCATAGAACCGACCTTCGACTGGCAGAATCTAGCTAGTAGGTAGCTAGCAGCTAGTGCATGAGCCAAGTGGCCAGGTTTTCGTGGCTCTGCTGACCGGCAAAGACTGTGAATGTGACTCGGCCGCCCCATGGATACACTTCCCTTTGTCCAAGGTGTAAGATGGTGCAAGATGGTGTAAGCTAGTGATGAATCGCTGCTGTTGACGTGCAAAGAAATGGCTACTGTCGATTTTCAAAAGTTACTGTTGCAAATTCATGAATCGATGTTGTTCTCCGAATTAAATGGCATCAGATGTGATGACCTGGTTGGTGCCCTACACGGTTGCATCGGTGGACTATGTTGATACCTGCACTGACTCTCGTTTGCGAATTCGGAATGTCAGGCCTGTGGTTGCAAGACCGGACTATCCGACAGCTGAAAGAAGAAGCTCAGCACCTTAGCAAGTTAGGTGTGCGGCATGTCATGTGGGGTTTGGATGGTTTGGTCCTGGCTTGTCTTTGGCGACTTTGTATTGTATTCTCTACGACACTGTTTTGGTGTTTTTTGTCTTGATGCTCCTTCTGCCAGGTGTCTGTTTCTGGTTGTGCTATGTGCAACAGTTGTCTAACTGGAGTCGAGGAGGAACATGCCCAAGGCATTTGCATGGCCTTCAATGCTCGGTTGTACTTTACTTCCTATTTCTGGTGGTAGAATGTGGTATACTTGTTTTATCGAAGTTTCATTTGTTTTCAAAGAGGCCAGGGATATCAATTTAGACGCAGAATGAAGCAGGCACAGTCAGTTTCTAGCGCTGCTGCATGAGAGAAGAGTAGGGGATTGATTGCTGCCTGCCGTGCTGCACAGTCGTGCAGTTGGAAACCCGAGGCAAAAACTGGATCTTACGATGAACTTGATTGGTCCCAACATGGAGCCGTTGCTGCTTGGGCTGCAAAGAACTCTTCAAAACTTTCGCCTGTTTCATTGATGTTGCGCCTGCTGAAGTTTGCAATATGATGCAATCGGACATGCAACCGGACCTAAAACACGACGTTGTGGAAGTAGTGAAACCCATACTGGGTCCATGGGCCTTTCTGCAACTGTACCTGGCAATGTCTTTGAGATATCCGGCAATGTCTTTCAGAAAGAGAACTAAGAGCTTTTTCAGTGACTTTTGCGTAGGTTTGTCAAGATGTTGGTGGATGGTGAATGGCGAATGTCGGTGAATGCAGCGATTATATAAATCCAGGAAAGTCAGATATAAGTCCAGGAAAATACAGGTTTGGAAAGACTCATTCGGCGAAGGACAATCTAATCACAGCGTCCTCTGGAGAATGACTCGGGTTAGAACATGTTAGAACAATTTGTGAAAGTGGAATGAGATATTCCGATATTCCCAGGTATTGCAAAGAGTATGCATGTAATTTATGGTTCGGATGTTCATACCAGTGCAACAGCAACCAAAATCAAGGTCTTTTGAATCAAGGTCACAACTGCCCTTGTATACCCGGAATTCTGGAACAAGAGCTTGGCTTGTCCAAGAGTATCTTTCCATACTTGCCAAGGGACGAAGAGAAGATGCTCCCAGAAGAAAACATTGTGCCTGGCACCACGCTGACAGTCGTTGCAGCGGCCTGGCATGTGACAAGAGCAATGTGACAGCAGTTCACTGTGCAGTGGTTGGGGCCTTCAAATTCAATCAAGATTCAACACTTTCGCAGGCCCGTGATGATCGTTCAGATCGTTCCACATGCAACATATGTTTTCGTGTTTTGGGATGGCGGAGCAAAACACATGTTGTGCAGCAATGCATGTTCAGAATTCAGAAGCATTTGTCGAGGACCATTCATGTCTGTCTATTGCGTGTGGATAATGAAGGCAAACATGGTTCACAAAGTGGCGGACCCTTAGCATGAGACAACCTCCCTAAAGAAATTTCCCGATTTCAAGGAAAGCACTGTAATTCACAAGCGGGTCGTCCGTCCACTTGGCAGCTGAGGTAAACCAGGCAGCAGAGGATGAGAAAGAAGCGGCAGAATGCTGGGCTCTCAGCAGTTGATCCTGTGTCTGCTTCCTGCATGGTCTGCATGGTCAGCGTTTTTTCACCACACATTGCACGAACTTACCAAACTAATTCTGAAACGATATGGTGCAAAATGTGTCAGAAGTTTTCAACGGATGTTTTGCATTTTTGAAGATCAGCTTCATTTGATACTAGTGCGGCATGTCACTTCGGTTATTTTCAAGTGTGGTATTTTCTTGAAACGTTTCATCGCTATGCTTCACCAATCATCATGATCTCTGATGTTATTCCACTTAGAAACACGGAGTCGGTGCCACCCGCCGCACCGCGACTGCGGCCTCCGGTATAAGCTGTGCAATCGAGATCTCTTCATTTTGTTAAGATCTTTTCATAATGTGTCAGCGTCTACTGTTCAATTATAGCTGCTTAAGTCGTCTGCAACTCTATGTGTGCTGTTTTTTCCTGTGCGGACAAACAAGGGAAGTTGGATCAATTTGATGAAATCATTGTGAGATCTTTAGACTGTCTTCATAGATTGAAATTTCACCATTTTCCTTCATTCAACGTGGGGTTTGGTCTGATTTGTTTGCAGTCCTTGCGGCCACCGTGTTCTGACGGGGGGGAAGGGCCTTCCATCTTCCTTTTGCGGGGCCTCCGGCCGCCCCGAGGCGACCATGAGATTCTCGATGCAGCCCAGCTCGGCAAAGTCGGCGCCGTGCGGCACCTGCTGCGGACGGTGCCCGGCGCCGTGGCCGAAACGGAGAGCGGCAGCGGCTACAGCGCGTTGCACGTGGCGGCGGGCGAAGGCCACGTGGAGATTTGTCGGCTGCTGCTGGCGGCTGGCGCCGAGGTGGACGCCAGGGGGGACGAGAGCGGCCTCTCGGCCTGAAGACGGATCCAGTTCTCAGAGTGGCTGTGAGAGTACCAAATGCGCACAAGTTGATCACCCATCTAAATGCAGAAAGATGCAGAAAGTATTGTGCTTTTGGTAGGTTTGATGAGTTGTAAGGGTGAAAAAAAGACAGTTTCCGAGATAAAATAATTTAGATCAACAACCACATGGAGAGAATTTGAAGAAGCACAAGGTATCATAAGATTAAAACAACAATAATCTGAACAACGAAGAACATTCATTTTTAAAAATATTCATGGCTTCTGATGGAGCCTTGGATGTGCAGCTTCTCAGAGACCTTGGGACGATCACGGACTTTCGCATTGCTCGCTGTCTTCAGTCTTCACTTCGGTGTGCATCACAAGGATATTTCTTGGAGCTGCCGCTGGCCCGAGGCAACACCCCGCTGCATTTCGCAACGTACAACGGCCAAGTGGAGGTGGTAAAACTGCTCCTCGAGGCGAAAGCCTCCGTGACAGTGAAAGACTTGCAGGGCCGGGGGCCTCGGCTGGGAGATGTGATGGGTTTTTGTTTCCCTCGTGGCAGCTGTTTTATTTCTTGAACATTGAGCAAGGGAATTGGAGATGCGGAGACATTCAGAAAGGCATTCTATTCTACGACATCCTACAGACACAGCATTGCTTCAGACAATTCAAGCTTTAGAAATTTTAGAAGACACCTCCAATGCAAACGGATGGAGACCCGCGGAAAGTGTGCAGATATAGATGCATCATGATGCATCATGATTGATGTATCTGGAACTTCAGCCCAACCAACATGGGGTGCGAATAGTGTTTGGAGCAACTCGAACAACTGGCATGAAAAAATGAAGGCAATATTTTTTTGTCTTAAAGTGACGGACATTGATACACAAGATGCTTCGCAAGTAAATACTTCAAGACGGCTCTTGAAATGACATCAAGGCCCATGGTGAGTGTGGTGCAATCAGCATTGGTTGCAGCGCTCAGGCCAGACTCCATTGGACGATGCGCGAAGACAGGGCCACGATGAAGTTGTGAAGATTCTTGAGAATGCCGAGTCTTGGCTGCACACACGTGTCAACAAGAGCAGGTCGTTCGTTTCGGAGTCCGAAGCTTCCAGCAAGACGCAGCTACAGCCGCAGATTTTGATTGTGCCTTTGCTTTATCTGAGGCATGAAGCTTGAACTTTTGCGCGTGGAGGATCTCTGGATTGATGGTGCGGGCTTCATGTTTCACGCGCCTTGGTCGAATCCGTGCGAAAATCCAAAGAGTCTGTGAGTTCTGTGAGACTTGCCCAATTGAAGGCACTGTATGAAGAATCCGTTTGGGCATTTCTGTGGTATGCTTGCTCAGCTTGCTCACGCAATATGTTTTGACCGACACCGCGCTCTGTTGGTTAGTCTTCTGCAGTTTCCGTTCCAACCAAGATGTTTGCCTCAAGTGGCTGGAATCATCATGCTGCTTCTTGGAGCATTCTTCTTCAAGCCTGGTTGAAAGATGCTGAAAGAATTTCATGTGCAGGTGGGAAACTTGCAACACCGTTTGACAGGGACACATTCATACTGCAATATGGTTGTAACTTTCCAGTTGCTGTCAGCTCAGGTTCCCTCTCATTCGGATTGGCCGATGGGTTTTACCCACTGAATGTCTCCTAGCAGCTGCTGTGCGAGTGGCTCCGACTTTTAAGGCCTGGAAACGGGCTTGCCTTGGCCTACAGATGTTGACATATTCTTTGCATCCGGTCCTTTGGTTGCTGCATTGCGAATTTACAACGCAGTACATAGTAACTCTTTGCCACACTTGGCTTGTACAAAGCCCTGGATCCCTGCAGTTGAGCATGGCGTTTTCATCCCAGAAATTTGGTTGGCATCATTTTCTTGGTTTTGTCAGCTCTGTGCTGAGGCTGCAGTCACAAAAGGTCATGCTGCAAGTTCGCAGCAAGTTTGGCCGAGCAGTCGACAGATTTGGGTGTTCAACTGTTCTACTTGAGCCGACCTCGTCATCAGCTGCCACATTCCGCTGCACGAGCAGCCTATGGCTTGGCTCCAATGCAGCTATCTCCCAACTTGCAGCCAAAGTTGCTGTTGGTGGTGGACAGATTGATTTATGAGGGACTGACCTTTGATCTACATAGCCTACACTACTGCAAAGTACTGAGTTTATCTGGGTCATTAAAGCGGACAAATTAGCGAGGTCAAAAGCTACAACTGGCTCATCACATTGTTGTGCCCGCGGTTTCATGGCTTGAAAAACAGGGCTCATCAGTTTAAGATAGAGAGCATCTGAGTAGCGTTTTTTTTCTAGATGCAGGAAAATGGATAAAGTGGGAACTCCACAAGACAGATTATGTCCCAGGCGTAGGCTCCCATGCAGACGGCGTAGGTTGCGTAGGCATCGGTGTAGGCCCGTTTGAGCCTACACCGCGTAGGCTTTGTGTAGACACTCGTTGGCAACAGTTAGAACTTGTTCATTTTGCATTGGTTAGTTGTGATACTTGTGGCTTGTGGTTTCAACACCTCATGCCACAATTGGCCACAATCGAAAACAAAAAGAAGCCATGGCCGCGTAGGCAAAGTCTACACAGCCTAGGCTCGCGCAAGCACCTCTTAAGAAAAGTAAGAAAAACATGCCCCACGTAGGCTACCTCATGGAATGGCGTAGGCTCAGCGTAGACAGTTTCGTAGGCTATACGTTAGCGGTCATCGAAAGACAAGGAAAAACACTATTCATTGGGATTGGATTGTTTGCCGAGCTGCCTATACAGCAAGACCGATCAAGAGAGTGCATGACTCGAGTGTTGTATCTCAACCTTCTGTTTGGTGTCAGGAAGTTCACTCAGGATTTTGGCTTCAAAGGAGAACTCAGTGTTCGCACTGTTGGAAGCAAGATCGAGGCTTTATACACATGAGCGAATTGCTACAGTAATGCTTTGTCTTTACTGCATTAGCATTCATTGGTAGTCAATGGTTGGCTTGTGATGAGCCAGAGATTGATATGTTTCCATACTCCATGCAGACATCAAGATTGCAACATAGATCGCTACAGAGACGCTACAGTAATAGAACGATCAGTTAAGGTATTTCAAGCCCATAACCCGTTTGAAAATTTCATACTTGAACGTCCCACAGTGCACTGCTGCCCAACAGGGTTTTAGCCCAATCAGGTTGTCCCAAGGCTGAGGTTGATTTGTGGCTTCTCGAGGACATTTGAAAATATCTATGGTTTTCTAGATGCAATTATAGCAAGGACAAAATGGGATTGCGACGCTCATTGCTGCCTTCCAGCCACCACTTGGTATTCCCTGAGGAACATTTTTCCGACCCCCAAACTTCTCCTCAGCAACGGGCACTTCAGTTCCTGCTTTTCCGTCCAACCCAGATCTGAATTCCTTTCATTGTGCCTAGCAGCCTCATCCATGGGGCTGCTTGTCCAACAGCGTGTTGCATTGTGGCGGCTTTTAGACCTGAACGATGCACACTTGTTGTGCTGAAAAAGTTGTTTTCAGACTAGCTTGCCACTTCTCAAGCCTTAAGGGGTTCATCAGGCAGAATGGTCCTGTGAGGGAACATGATGTACAAATCTTGTTGGCAGGAGCTTGGCAAGAGCATGATTGTTTAAAATACCCCATGTCATGTCTTTCTTGGATATCTTGTGCGCAGCCTAGCAGACACGCTTCTGTCGATATTGTTGGTGTCATCTTGTGGTGCGTGGCGCATTCTGGTTTCAAGCGCTCGCCGAAGGGATTTGATGCCGGTTGTCACCAGCTTGACGGCGTATTCAAGCTTATGTGTGGCGGCCTCATTCTTGCGTGCCTCATTGTCCTGACTTGCATTGCCACGGGGGCCTGTCCTGCTTCTAGTGAAGAGGACTGCCCCCATGTGGCCACCATATCTTTCTTCCAAAATGTGGTGGGTATTCGCAGCTCAGTTCGTCTTTGTCGCCCCTGCTACCTACAGTCTGCTACTTTACACTTTTGGCTTTGTGCGCTTTTCCATGCACCTCTTATCCATGCATTGTTTTAGACACACATGTGCTCGCGCACACACACAGAAACAGGCGTCCAACTTTTGCTGTGTGCTATCTGCTGTTTACGTCAAGCACATGGGATTGTGATGTTGTGGAAGCGCCTCAAAAACGTGACCTTGCGTTTTCATGTGCTTTTGTGCCAATGCCATTCTCCAAGTTTGGGTCGCAGGACCAAGACCCCCGGCCTGCGCAAGGAGTTGTGTGGGCTGTGGCTGGGGAGGTAGACCTCGGCCCCGGCGGCTGTTTGATGGGGGTGAGTGCTTTTTCTCGCTATTTGTGGCCACTAGGAGCTCGTTGGGTGGCGCCCACACGGAAACATGCATTTCAAAGAGTCGGTGTGCTTGGAGCTCGCAGGTGAGTTGCCTGTGCAACCTATGCATTGGTTCCTTAACAGGAGTGGCTTGAGAGATCTCTCTGCTGCCAAGCGAGGGCGGAGCCGACGCCAGCAGCTTGATAGCACCTAGTTTGCTTCGCATGGGTAATCGATCTGACGAAGAAGGAAGTCGGTTAGCTAGCTTCGGAGCTCTCTCTCCGCTGTCTCTCTCTATCTCTCTCTGTCTCTCTCTGTCTCTCTCTGTCTCTCTCTGTCTCTCTCCGTCTCTCTCTCTCTCTCCGTCTCTCTCTCGTCTCTCTCTCGTCTCTCTCCGTCTCTCTCCGTCTCTCTCCGTCTCTCTCTGTCTCTCTCTGTCTCTCTCTGTCACTCTCTGTCTCTCTTTCTCTCTCTCTGTCTGTCTGCTGCTGGCTGTCTGTCTGTCTGCTGTCTGGCTGTCTGTCTGTCTGTGTCTGTCTGTCTCTGTCTCTGTCCTCTGTCCCTGTCCCTGTCCCTGTCCCTGTCCCTGTCCCTGTCCCTGTCCCTGTCCCTGTCCCTGTCCCTGTCCCTGTCCCTGTCCCTGTCCCTGTCTCTGTCTCTGTCTCTGTCTCTGTCTCTGTCTCTGTCTCTGTCTCTGTCTCTGTCTCTGTCTCTGTCTGTCTCTCTCTGTCTGTCTGTCTGTCTCTCTCTCTCTCTCTCTCTGTCTGTCTGTCTCTCTCTGTCTGTCTGTCTCTCTCTGTCTGTCTCTGTCTGTCTGTCTGTCTGGCTGTCTGGCTGTCTGGCTGCCTGGCTGTCTGGCTGTCTGGTTGTCAGTTGTCTGGCTGTCTGTCTGTCTGGCTTTCTGGCGGTTGGGTACTCGCTTTGGAAGGTGTTCAAAAGCATCGCTTTGGAACGCGGTCTCATGCGTCGCTTTGGAACGCGCCTGATCATCATGATCTTCATTCCCGTCTAAGCCGTATATCATCATCATCATCATCATATCATCATATCATCATATCATCATATCATCATATCATCATATCACCATATCACCATCATCATCATCATCATCATCATCACCATCATCACCATCATCATAATCATCATCATCGTCACATCTTCATCATCATCATCATCGTCGTCATTCATCATCATGTTTCATCTTCTTTGCCATGAACATAGCTGATTCTTCTCAGACCTTCATCTCAGCACCATCAACATCACATCATCATATCACATATCATCATATCATCATATCATCATATCATCATATCACCATATCACCATCATCATCATCATCATCATCATCACCATCATCACCATCATCATAATCATCATCATGCTTCTTCTTTGCCGTCATCAGCATCATCATCATCACCATCATCATCATGATCACCCTCATCATAATCATCATCATCATCACCATCATCATCACCATTTCGTAAAGGTGCAGCATGCTGATCCTGCTTTTTCTTAACGTCCGGTGAAGGGCTATATACTCGCAGCGTAAATGTTGGTAATGTGTGTGTGTGTGTGCGTCGGGTGGGTATGCATGTTTGTTATGCAGTATTGCGATGTCGCGGGCACTCTGCGTCTGCAGGACAGCAAGAAAGATGATGAGGTTGCTGTGCCTGTGTGTGCACAGGAACATGAACGTTATTGTCCCACCCCACCCCACCCCACCACACCCCACCGGTAACTGACCATGAATGAGCAGTGCCTGTGTCTGCTGGACAGCAAGAAAGATGATAAGGTTGCTGTGCCTGTGTGTGCACAAGAACATGAACGTTATTACCCCACCCGACCCCATCCCACCCCACCCGAACCCACCGGTAACTGATCATGAAAGAACACTGCCTGTGTCTGCTGGACAGCAAGAAAGATGATGAGGTTGCTGTGCCTGTGTGTGCACAGGAACATGAACGTTATTGTCCCACCCCACCCCACCCCACCACACCCCACCGGTAACTGATCATGAATGAGCAGTCCCTGTGTCTGCTGGACAGCAAGAAAGATGATAAGGTTGCTGTGCTTGTGTGTGCACAGGAACATGAACGCTATTACCCCACCCCACCCCATCCCACCCCACCCCAACCCACCGGAAACTGATCATGAAAGAACAGTGCCTGTGTCTGCTGGACAGCAAGAAAGATGATGAGGTTGCTGTGCCTGTGTGTGCACAAGAACATGAACGTTATTACCTGAATGAGAGATGATCAGGGCAGGCGTGGCACTTTTTGACATCGACCTTCATGTTGTGTGGCAGGCGTGACACTTTTTGACATCGACCTTCATGTTGCGTGGCAGGCGTGGCACTTTTGGACATCGATCGACCTTCATGTTGCGTGGCAGGCGTGGCACTTGGTAACATCGTTCTCTATATTTCTCATAGGAGGTCTTTTTGTTTTGTCTTGTTCTTGCTTTAGAACGCGCCAGGCTTCCAAAGTATTGGGCCTGTCAGTAAATCTCATGTCTGTGTGGTTGGCATTGTTTTGATGATATGTATCATTTTGTGTTCCAAAGTGTAAAAGTGATGCATCAGACTGTGTTCCAAAGTGATCCTGCTACCTTTCTGGCTGGCTGGCTGTCTGGCTGGCTGTCTTTCTGTCTGGCTGTCTGGCCGCCTGGCTGTCTGGCTGGCTGTCTATATATAGGCATAAAGGAAAGGAATTCCCGGACTAAACTGGCTGAATCGCCAAGTGACATGTTTTGATTCCTGTTTGTGGCCCATTAAGGACATTGCGCCGTGTTCCTTTGACCTTCTGTTCAGTGAACGGCGGTTTTCTTTCGGCGTGCCTGGCAGCAAATGTG